TCCGACTTTACATTTAGATTGTTGGAACCCTATGCACACTAGGTTGGCCCCATTTAATATGGTGGGATTTATAAACACGCATAGGATTGCCCTGTTAAGCATATGAAAAGTGTTTTATGTACACAGTCTCACTCATACATAACAACAGCTCTGAAGAGACATTAGCTTTAGATTGCAGGTGGACAAGGCACTGAAATTCAAATATAGGGGCTTTTCTAAGGCTATATGGTGAGCTCATAGTCTGGTGACAGCAATACTTGAAGAAGGGGCAGGTGTCTGGTGACAGCAATACTGCTCTCACTAGCTCTGCCCAAGCATCACCTGCAGTCTGAACAAACCCTCTTAAAATGAATGATTGGTGCATACAGGCAAAACTAACATTTGCTTCAGTCAGGTTTCCACAGCAGAATTCCCTGGTGGACCTGGATTTCTTCTTAGCTGTTTTTTGTTTGTTTGTTTGTTTGTTAAAAAAAATGATGCCCCAGATTGGGTGGTGTGAGAGTACTGGGTTTATTGAGACAGGAGACCTCTTGGTAGTCTTACCACATTAGAGAGACAGTGGAAAACTGAAAGCCACCAATGCAAATAGCTTTGGAACAACTCAAAAGGGAGAAGTTGCTGCAGTAAGCACAAATGGTTGGCCCTCAGTGCCTCCTAACCAAAAGCTAGAGCAAAAACAGAGCAGGGCTGCAGAATGTAAAGAGCATGTCATCCTCCATCGCAAGGCATTTCAGTGGTTTCCGTATGGCAATTTAAACTTAAATGGGAATGCTCATGTTATTGCTGGAGTCTGAAGCCTACTGTGCCTGCTTTCATTTGGCATCAGCTGTGGACATAAACCATGCCAGCAGTAGCTTCAAAGATAATATCCTTAAATTGGGCCAAAAAAGAATAGATGTGATTCACTTGTGTCTCAGCTAGCTGTCCCCATTTACCAGGGTCATACTTCTTATTCTATACTTGGGGAGATTTGGGGGAAAATGTCTTTTTTGGCATACTGTTGATCCATCTTGGTTGTACTGCTGATGCATGAAAACATGCACATACATAAAATGCCAGCAAACTGCTTCCTTTCCATGCCTTTCCATGCCCAGACACAACTCAAGGATAGAAAAGTAAATACAGAGATCATATTGCTGTTGTTATGCACCTTAAGGTCATTTCAGACTTAATCCTATCGCATGATTTTATTGGCAAGTTTCTTCAGAGGGGCTTTGCCATTGCCATCCTCTGAGGCCAAGAGAGCGTGACTTGCCCAAGGCCACACAGTGGCTTTCATGGCTGAGCTGAGGGGTCAAGCCCTGGTCTCCAGAGTTGTGGTCCAACACTCAAACACTACGGTAGCAGAGATTGTATAGGTAAGGGTATAGCACATACTCCAAAATTTCATAGATGAAAACCAGGACACGTATGGCAAAGTATCATCAAAATGGGGTCAACATGGCAAAAGTTATTAACGAGGCAGAATACACAAGTTAGGAGAGGCCACTGCAGTTTACTTTTGCCAGAGCCTACAGGGAAGGGTGAGATTCCACCCCCCACTTTCCTCTTCCACCTGCTGAATTGAGTCCAAGCTATGTTTGCACTTTGAACTTAGTTTGCAGCAAATGAGGTAAGTTGAGGACAAAGGGGGAAGTGGGAGAAGAGAGAAACTGGAACACTTTAAAAACAGTTGAAAAGTGGGATGAGAGAGGATTGTTTAGAACTCCCTCTGCCAAATTAGGGACAGCTAAAGGGTATTGTATAGGCAGTGATGTGGGGGCTATGCAGACCGTCCTAAAGGGCTGGCCTAGGCGTGGAGCTGGGGTGGGACAACTGCACAGCGACTGCTACAGCTCAACCCCTACACCAACCTGATGCCATGCACCTGTCTGTATGGCGTGCAGCAACAGGACACCCTCCTGGCACAGCGTGCACACATGCTGCGCCAAAAGGACGTGGAAGAGCCACGGTGGCAAAGGGGAGGATTGGGACCATGGCGTGTGGTTGCCGCAGCTCCAATCTGCCGCTCCCAGGGATGGCTTTGTGCCACCCCTTTAGGTGGGTCTGTAAAGGCCCATAGTGAAGCCAAGACTCTCAGGGTCAAAGCTACAGGACGTTTTGATATTTGTGGATTATGAGATCCTCTGCCATACCCCAGCCCCCCCATTACTCTATTCCTTTTGAGTTTAGCTGCAATCCCCACAGTAGCTTAAGGGGAAATGGATTTTCCCAGTAATGATGTATTGCTATGAGCTATCTCTGTTGTAATTCCAAGTGTATTTGCCATGGGAGTGCCTTCATAAAATATGTATTCCTGATAGAGATGAAGACTGTTAGAAATTATTCTGACAGACCAACACAACTACCTGCATGTTTGGACTCTTGTGGGAGTACTGCTGTAGAGATTGCCCTGGTGAGGACTTGGGTACAGCTGTAGATGTAAGACTGATGGCCATTTGAGGACTACTCTTTATGATTGGGAGGGAGAAAGGAAGAATGAAACTTTGAGAAATGTTAAGACTGGCTGTTGGGGTGAATTCTGGAGAAGGAAGAGACTGCAAAATATGATTTATTTATTTTTTAATGAGCAAGAAAACCTTGCTTTGTGCATACTCGTATTCTTCTCTGGGTCACAGCAACCTAGTGGCATATACTGAACCTGATGGGAATATAACAATCTTGTTGGATTTATTCCAACAAGGCCTCATGAATTATGGTAACGTTGATTTTCTTTATTTGAGATTTCACAGTATGTGCACTGAAGACTTTCTGGTGGCACAGTGGTTAAATGCCTGTACTGCAGCCACTCACTCATAGACCACAAGGTTGAGAGTTCAATACTAGCCAGAGCTCAGGCTTGACTCAGGCCTACATCCTTCTGAGGTCACTAAAATGAGTACCCAGATTGTTGGGGGGCAATGAGCTTACAGTTGTAAGCCACTTAGACATCCCATAGCGCAATATGAAGCGGTATATAAATGAAGCTGCTTTTGCTTTGCTTTTCTTCTCTTTTATTGTTATTTAATTATTGTGTGTTCATTTGTGTTATTTTAATAAATGTATATGTTTTGTTTTTCTTTACTTGTAGCTCTTCTTATTGTGATTATTAATTAGACTGTCATCCTAGAAAAATTTTGTGCTGATGAGTGGATTTGGATGTATATGAATTTTTAGATCAATTTTAATTGTGATAGGTTGGTTTTGAGAGCCAATGTGGTGTAGTGGTTTGATTGTTGGACTAGTACTTGGGAGACCAGGGTTCATATCCTACTCAGGCATGGAAACCTACTGGGTGATCTTGAGCAAACCACACTTAGCCTCAGAGTAAGGCAATGGCAAACAAATTTGGCCAAGAAATCCCCATAACAGGTTCACCATAATTTGTAAATGACTTGAAGGCACACAACAATGATTGGTTTTAAATGCTTGAATGCTTTTATCACTCTCTGTGTATACACCTCTTTGCACATTTGTGCGTCTGAATGCTTCTCCCAGTACAGCAGCAGTACAGCCATTAGGCAAACTGAGGCAGCCGCCTCAGGAGGT